TCGTGTCGCCTTTAATAAAAAGAAGTCACTTCTATGCTCGCGAACGGTTAATTTAGAAATTCGAAAAAGGTTGTTAAAGGTGTATGTTTGGAGCACGGCGTTGTACGGGTGCGAAACATGGACAGTGGGTGCGGCGGAAAAGAAAAGGTTAGAAGCGTTGGAAATGTGGTGTTATAGGCGGCTGATGAGGATAACGTGAGTAGAAAAGGTTATAAATGAAGAGGACTCTCTGGAAGTCAATAAAAAATAGGCGAGATAGGTTGGTAGGACACCTTCTCAGATATGAAGATCTAGTCAGAGACATATTAGAGGCAGAAGCAGGAGTTACGAGGGGTAGAGGTAGACCTGGATTAGATTACTGTTCGTAAATAGTTAAGGATGTGGGCTGTTCTAGTTTTAGGGAAATGAGAAGATTAGCTCAGGATAGAAAAGAGTGGAGGTACGTGTCCAACCATTCTTAGGACTGACGACCTTACGATGATGATATAGTTATCGCTGGTGCATTTCTTAACTTAAGTAAACAGGTAAGTAAGACCAGTAAAGGTAAAAGTGAGGTGGGCAGAAATAAGTTTTGGTATGGGTACCATTGACTTGGCCTCACTTTCTATTGACGTTGTCTACCAAATGTTATTTCCATCATTAGTTTTTCAATATTCTTCTTTTGCTTACCATCTGGACAGTCGAGAAAATATGCCAACGGCGGTAAATGCGCGAAAATGTGATCTCAAATCGTTCTGGTGATAAAAATTGACAATTTGATACCAAATAGTAGAAAAAGAACAACATAATGAAGACATACAACCTAATAATATTGATAAGCTCAATACTTAGTTTAGGTAAGTAAGAAACTATTACACAATTGTTATTTTTAGATAATTAAAAAAAAATAAAAGTAATGTTGCAATGATTTTAAGTTAACCNTTGATACAAGCTATTATAAGTAGATTTTGCTACCTATTCCCCTTCCTCAGCACCTTTCATTTGGATGTAATTGTTAGTGAAAGTAAGGGTAACTTACAGGAAAGGCATAGTACTCAATTTAACCTAATTGTAAAGTAAATCCACCGCACTTGTCCTCTGGCAATTGTCTTTACAAAAACATTATGTAAATTGTACTGTAGTGAGTAAATGTATTGATGTCTTCCATATGTACTTATTAATTAATTAATAAATGACTAAAGCATAATTTTAGAATTTTACTAATCGAAAAACTGTTCAGAAAAATAAATTCATTTAAGTTCAACTACTGTTATTAAGTGGAAGAAACTCTATCTGATAAATGTTCAATCGTTTTACTATTAGCATAATTCGGGATAATTTCGTATATTAAATTAATGACGATTTTTGATAAAGAATAATTCAAAAAGGACGTTTGCAGATTAGGCTACCCGAATACACTCCGACACCAGCGGTTGCCTACACAAGATACACTTAGGGACAGCATATAGTTCTTAATTTTTGCTGTACAGTAGCATGCGTAATTTTAGGTACCGTGTTACTTTTTTTTAATTAAGTAACCAACGGATTAATTTAGGTTCTATGTTTCTAACGAATGATGCCAAGAGATAAATATATATATACTTAAATTCGTTCTCTTCATTTTTCTAGACATCACCAACTTATGATCCTTGTATTTATTTCTTGATATAATAAATATTAAAATATAAAAAATACTGTAATAAATATGCAAAAATTTCACGAAAGTCACGCAGTCGTTTCGCAATGTTTTTTAATGAACGTACAATACCGATACCTTTAATTGCATATTTAAATTGACACTAAATATGCCGAAACTTAAAACAATAAAATTCTATTACAACCAAAAACAGGACACGCTTGAATTACTATCAGTT